AGACAACCCTATGTTTCCTAATTATACTGCAATCAAATGCTGATCTCTGCACATTTTCTGAAGAAGGGTCTCGGCCCGAAACGTCAACCTTCCTGCTCCTCTGATGCTGCTTGGCCTGCTGTGTTCATCCAGCTCTACACCTTGTTATCTGCTGATCTCTGCAGGCTGGCTATGCTTCCCGTGGTGCAGTGATTACCTCTGGTCCTGAAAGGCTGGCCTCAAAATCGACCTACTACAGAGCTATGTCGTTACATATCCCCATGTATGTATCCACTTGATTTTAGAAGAAGTACGTGTAAAGTCTTTTTCCGGGAATCACCTGTAAGTGCGATTTTAATTTACAGCGCATATCATAGAATCGCTGCAGTGTGGAAACAGACCATTGGGCTCAATAAGTCCACACTGCCCCTGTGAAGAGCATCCCACCCAGACCAATTCCCCTACCCCTGCATTCCCCATGTTTAACCGACCTAACCTAAATATCTCTGGGCACTATAGCATAGCCAATACACCTGCCCTGCACATCTTTGGACTGTGGGAGGAAGCCGGAGCACCCGGAGAAAATACTGGGGGAGAATGTGCGAACTCCTCGCAAATAGTCACTGGAATCGAATCCAGGTCTCTGGCGCTGTGGGGCGGCAGTATTAACCACTGCGCCGCCTGTGCAATGTTGCCCTCTCACTTTCCTCAGAGCTGCTTGATCTACGCAATTGAACAGCTAATAATTCCGAGCTGTCAGATACATGCAGATTAGAAGGGTCGTGTTGCTTTCTGGAATCTCTTGTAATACAAGAGATGTATAATCTCCCCATCTATTGTTTACAAATGAATAGAAAGCAGGCTTCGAAATTCGAAAAGGTGAAAAACTTGATAGTTAGTGTACTTCGGAAACGTTTCAGTGAGACCAGACGTCATGTATTCTGTAGCTACTAAACTCAAAATACTGAGCTTCTAATGAATGCAGCCGCTGCTTTTTTTTTTCTGTTTCATGACATTGCATATGACATTCTCCAGAGAGAGGGAGAAGACAAAATATAATAATCGTGCAACCTAATGTTTTTGAATAGTTACTACCATCATTTGATAACTGTGTAGATACATTTAATCACCCCAATAAGTTGTGACAACCTCCATAGCACGGGGACATTGAGCACGGGCTCCTGATACAGAGGTATGAACAGAGCCACGATGCCGTAACAGTCCTTGAAATATTTCATCTAACTGTTCAGGCATTTTATGAGATAACTCTGGAACAGAAGGCACTGATTAGAGGTTGGGGCACGACAATGACCCCACAGAAAACCCCAGTAAATAGTTCTGTGTGACCAAGCAGACAGCAATGTGATACCGACAACATACTTCCGTTCGTGACGCATTCGTGTAAATATTTGGATATTAAATACGAGCATTGAGTTCAAAAAGCGTTACCAAATGAGTTATAAGACTAAGTCATTGCATGGCATGCCAATTTGGTGGTATGTGGATCGGAGATGGACGCCTCAGCTGCACTAAATCATTACCCTCGACTCTCGTGTCTGTTAATATCAAAAAGCTTTGAACATAGAAAAGAATTCCACAGACATAGAAACTCTCGAGGCAAAGGGAAAAAAAAATCTCTTGTTCCAAGTCTAAAACGTGAGGGTTGGTCCATTATATTTAAACTGTCTCCCCTATATCGAGACTAGCAACAAATGAAACATGCTCTAAGCTTTCCCTCGTAACGTTTACTCAAGGTCTCTAACATTTTTATCATATAACCTCATATTTTATCAATCTTGAATGGGCATAGACAAATCCTGCTGAACTTTTCCCATACAACTGTTGCCCACCAGAAATCAGGGGAGTAAACCTTTACAGAGGTGTTTAAAATGCACATGTTTTTTTTAACGAATGAGGTTGGAATTGTGCATAGAAATACAACTGTAGCCTATTTTAAATCATGCATTTCAAAGTAATATTACCTTACTTCTCTACTAGATTCTCCTTTAATTAAAAAAAAACATTCCCTCTGGTTAACTGATCATTTGTTTACATGTATTCGAAACATGATATAATTCGGGTACAAGTTCACCCGGATCCTTCTGGGCAGTTTTACTCTATTCAGATAAGATACTGACTTTCTATCCTTCCTGACAAGTTGTCACATTAAGCAGGTTCCTCCAGAAATCTAACCTAATTTTATTTTTGCCTTCTCACAAAACATTCCTAATCCCCTTTATGGCTTGCTTATGTCTCTTTAATAACCTCCTTTCTCGCTATCTTTAAGCCTTGAAAACTTTGCTAAAATATATGTTGCCTATTCATCCAAGTCATTGACATATGTTATAAGTACTCAGTACTCATCCCATCGCACTCTATGTTTAGACATGCCATGTTAAACTTGAAAGGCACCTGTTTTTTTTTCAGGATTCCTGTTCGCAAAGTAACCACCTATCCTTTCTGACGTGGCGCATAGTATATCATGAGCTTTTATTTGTTAAAAGAACCATCCTCTTGCTTACTTAAAGCCTGAAATTACTAAACAGATACACCTACCGCTTTACAAGAATTTGTGCATTTTATTAAATGAACATGAAGTAGAAGTCAGTTTTTCGTTTAAATTACCCTGGAGCCACTCATGAAGAAAACACAGAATGTTTTGTTATGTTCAGGCAGAAACATCCATTAAGATAGGAGATTGTTTCTCATTACTATATCGTTATCTAGTGCTGAATCCTATATTATTTTATCTAATTTCGAGTTAGAAAAAGTTGATGGAATGATTTTTGCTCCAGGACTGAGAGAGTTTTCACACTGTATTTTATCACCTTGCAGCACTTATTGAGCCACATTCCCGTTTTATGGAGATATTGCATCTAATTTCCACCAGACCCACCTTCCACCAAGACTAATGCTTGACAACTCTCACTAATGACTGCAACTTCATCAGCAGTCATCCTTGGCCACACCAACCGATGAAGCCACTAACGCTGCATGCCCGCTGCATTGTCTACTCACTCATCTGGTAATCTTTTACACTTGCACCAATAGTAGTAGCTGTGCCACCCACTTTATTTTTCCACAATATTTATCTCTGTCTCAACCTAGGATCAAAAAAGCTCACGTCATTGTAGAAAGAGTCAAGGCTGCAATAATAGTTGTCGGTGCAGCACAAGGTGCAGTATTGAAGCGTATTGTAACTGGATTGGTGATGTGTCATGAGAATTGATGGATTCTGAAACCTGCAGGATGCGGGTTCCATGAGGCTGGGGCCCATGAAGCATGCCCGATATATTGAAAGCCAATGTCGAACGTAAAGGTAACAGAAGCTGACAATGGAAACGGACAGACAAAATTGATGGAATGAAGGGAAAATTTGAGGTCATCTTGCAGATATGTAGAAACAGTGAAAATTTGAAACAGCATTAAATACAGTTGCCAGCAGTGTGTTTGCAGCTCTGAACAGCCCGTAAAGAGGAAGAAATGTACGGGACAAAAGAAAAGTGTAGGTTACTGAGCCTGATTGGGAATTACCGAAGGGAAATTCCACATAACTCAGCAAAACAAAATTGTTCTTATTCAAGTACAGTACTTTGTTTGCTTCAGACGAACGCCATGGAGTTAATGGAGATTTTTTTTCAACGTGATAGCAAGTCAAATAGGTGGAGAAGGATTGTGAGATGTTTAGAGCAGGTCAGAACACTGTTAATAAAGAAAATGAGACCATTTTGGTTTAGGGTGAAGGGGAATAGTAATTGGATGTCCATTGTTGAAAGTGGGAAATGATTAGGGCAGGAAAATAGAAACTACAAAAGTGGGATATGGCATCAGAAGAACAATGGATGGAGATGAGAACAGAATGAATATGAGTTCTCCAAATTGCATGTATGCACGCTGAGCTGTTATTATTGCAAAAATATTAGATCAGCTTGAACAAAGTCCTCATAAACTTATTTAAATTGTGTTAATTAATGAAGATTTACTGAACTCGCCTTTGACACACACGTTACAAATCAGAATAGAGCGAATGTTGTACACATAAAATGCAAACAATGAATCTGAAAGTTCAACACAGTTCCACTGGAACTTGTGTAATAGATAGTGCCAGTCAGGCACTGGATGTCCAAGTTATTCCGTACTACTTCAGAAGAAATATATCGTCAGCAATGTGCAACAGTCCTTTCTGTCAGTTCTTACGTTTGGGTGGGCATGTTTACATTGAAAGTCGGATCTCGTAAACCCAAGCTGTCATGTATGGAACCGGACTGGTATACATTGAATCGAATCACTTTGTGATGGAGTTCTCAACGCCAAATGTAAGTGTGTTGAACTGAATCAGACAATATTGATCGTTAATGTGTTGACTGAAACTTAAAAATAACTGAATGTAAATTGATTCAACTTGCCCGTTTCCACCAGCGGTATACACTCACCAACAGAGGAAGTCTGCACTGTCTGTAATATATTTGACTGCGATCTTCCAAATTACATTGCAGTATTATAAGTGCCTGAACTGTATCTTAATCTGTCTGTAGTGAATATAATCTGGCTGACATATTCCTGACTGTAAACTGTATCCCGTCCACAATGAGTACACAGACAGTAGATTAAAAGTATGTGTGTAATCTGTGAGAGATATGAAACCATGTTTCACTTATATTAATCACCTAACCGAATAACGACACCAACTAAGAACTTGGCAGCGTTTTCCTCAGAATATTCATAATCATCAGTGTGGCCAGTCGTGAAATCTACTGCTGACTCCCGAACCATTTTTAGGCAGTTATATTTTTAAAGAGAAATATAATTCTCCAGTCTCTGACACTTCACATTAGGAATGGGTCACACACTCTGAAAAAAAAACACATTTCTTTCCAGCAGAAATAAAACATAACTTGAGTATCAGCTGGCTAATTAGTTTCTTGCAACAATTGTAAGAATCAAGTAATTATCTCCCTGAAGTATAAATTTGGCTTTTTTTTCCAATAACTTGCAGAACCCGTTCTGAACATTTGACAGAAATGCATGAAATGCCAACAGGGCCAGTGTTGGCCATTTACTATCCCATCATTTCAGTGATCGGAGTTCCAGGTAAAATGCTGCAGTCAGTTAGTTGTTGCATGAATCAGTGTGCACCTACGCCTGTTATCCCATTTCCACGTCACAGGTCTACAGATAACAAGTAGTCTTCCCACTACCTAGTCAGATGTAAATTTCCTTCTAAGCGGTATGATGCATTTCGTCTATTCCTTTCATTTTCCTTGATTATAATTTCTTTTAGTTTAACTATATTGCATGTAACAATACGATTTTCTTGTTTCAATTTACTGTCACAGTATTCCACTATTTATGGCATAATTTATAATACGTCAGCTTTGCTACTTCACACCTTTTTGTGAATTGTCTTTTGATATTACCTGTCTGCTTTTTCGGATTTAACAGTATTCTCTGTTGCCATGACAGTTAATAAGTACATCGTTTATATAATTAAGGAATTTCTCGCATTTATTACTTGCAATTTAAGTCTGGTCTATTGATTTACTGTTGTTGTTGTGGTGAGTGAATTAACATTCTCTTGTCAGCGTTCCATTGACTTTTTGACAATTCCAGGCTATGTGGAAGAACAAATAATGACACAGTGTAAGTGTATTCCTGTTGTGACTTTACTATTCATTCTATGAATGAATTATTTGATATTACAACAGCATAGGTGGAATTCTATTATTTCTCACATTCACTGCTTCAGCCTGGGTATCCTCTTCCACGTTTGCTGCTGTTACTGTTCAGTGATGAAGGCTATGGAGGAAATGATGTCCTTCTTATCCCAGCGTATGGCAATGCCTTGGTCAGTTTCCATCTTCATTATGATATCCATTCTGTGCGAGGCGATGTAGATGGTAGTCATTCTGAATTTTTATTCACAAGTTTTGTACTTCACAGGCAACTATAAAATAATAGAGCCGATCATTTACCCTGACAGTATAATGTAGCACAGAGGAAGCATTGCTTTAAAGCAGGGGCTGCTTCCAATTCAGAGTCCATCACCTTACAGTTTCAGTGTTTGATATCGACATTGAAAACCCCAGGTGTTTATCAAGAGAATGGGTGCCCTTATTATTGTTTTCTATAGAAATGTATCACAATCAAGTATCCTAATTACCTCTGTTGCATATACTTTTGAGCAAGTTAAATAAAAAGCAAAATAAATATATTTTTCATTACTTCGTTGGTAGAAACCTGTTTTCTATCCGAATGAAATGAGATCCGTGTTTGTGGCAGTTTCCTTAATTCTGCTGAATTAAGTTACTCTTTGTGCATTTCAGTATTACCAATTCTCTTCAAATGGCCTCATTGTCCTTGTATCAGTTTTCAGGGCTTTTCCATTCACTCTGGTCTTTTGTTATCTTGCAGAAACAATTTGCATTCATGTGATATTGACAGGCAAGAATCTCAATCCGGATGAGAGTATTTTCATGGAAATAATTGCCCTAAATATAATAGATATTTTCAAATACATAATGAAAATTGAAATTCAATGAGAATTCTATAGAATCAATTATTTCATTCAGAGATGAATTTTTACCATTTTCCTCACGCTCTGCCTTGAATGCACATTACCGGAGTCTTTTTATCACTTTTTCTTGTCAATTGCAGCAAACTTTGCAGTGATTATTATACTGTCTCGAAGAAGATGCGGTCTCTCTCGATGTATCACCAATTACCTGGTATCCATGGCGGTCACAGATTTCCTTGTCGTGGTTACAGCTGTAATCTTAAACCGGATTGCTGGGATTTATTTTCCATACAGTTTCCTTTCCATCACACCAGTCTGCAGCTTTCGTTCTGCCTTAATTTATGCAGCACTGGATAGCTCCGCATGGTTAACAGTTGCTTTCACCTTTGATCGATTTGTTGCTATTTGTTGCCAGAAGATGAAAATAAAATATTGTACTGAGAAGATTGCAACCCGGGTTATATTATTCCTGTCTGCACTGAGCTGTGTAAAAAATGCTTGTTTTTACTTTGCATTTGAACCTATTTACATAATTAACAAAGTACCTTGGTTTTGTGAGATTAAAGCTATGGTTTATACAGAGGCTGCTTGGGCTGCATTCGATTGGATCAGGTCTACTTTAAACCCATTTCTCCCGTTCATTCTCATTTTACTGCTGAATGCTCTGACTGTCAGGCACATTCTCGTGGCTAATAGAGCCCGCAAGAGACTCCGGGCTCAGAACAATGGACAGAACCACAATGACCCAGAGATGGAGAAGCGGAAGAAGTCCATTGTTTTATTGTTTGCTATTTCAGGCAGTTTCATTCTTTTATATTTATTATTTTTTACAACAATTCTCTATGTACGAATTGCAAATGTTCCTTATCCGTCAGGTTCTGATTTCAATAACCCCACATTTCTTCTCCAGGAAAGCGGATATATGCTTCAGTTTTTGAGTTCCTGTATCAACCCATTTATTTATGCTGGGACGCAAAATAAATTCAGAGGAGAGTTAAAGAAGGGCGTGAAATATCCACTGATGCTATTTGCTAAATTCATTAAAGTTTGAAAATAGTCTATTAAAATGAACTTTATATTTGTACCACGTTGTCTTCCTGTACATTTCACATAGAATGGCACTTCTGATATGCACTTCTTTAAAACAAACAAAAAAAGAATCCTTTTGCAAACAACGAAGGAAACTGTACAAAGAATACTACTGTTTTTTAAACAAATTCCATATTGCAAAATATGCCCAGTTAGCGCTCAGTTCTGTTCCATCTTACAGATTTGAGTAGTACATTCCGATTGTCCTTGAGATCACTGGAGTAAATTATAGACATGCATTCAGCATCCGATATTTGGAAGGGCAAGATTAAAAAAAAAAATAAAGTAATGCAATGTCCGAGTTGCTGAAAGAATTGTATTTGTACCCATCGCTTACTTCCCCTCCCCATCCTGAGGATGGTCTTCCCTTTCTTTGGTGGACTCCATCATGACCATGCCTGCGAAATGTCTATTGAAGACATGCCTTAAGTGCACGTTATCCCCCGTGACAGTTACAGCAATGCCAGTGACTCAGATGCTTTTCCACAATCTGAAGTTGAATGTTATTTCATATTCCCAAGAGGCAATGACCGCCTCTGTCAATGCCTCTGTCAGTGGCTGGAGTCGGTCTGCACTGTCCTGTTGAATTTGAAGCTAATCATCTTCCCAAACCATCTAGCAACTTGTTTGGATTCGCTGGTAGTGGATATGGGAGGAATTATTTGTCACGTACTCTCAGATATCTATTTCTTATCCTCAGAGGCAGACGGATAATGTACAAGTTCTGATCCCACCTGCTCGTGTTCATGTCCTATAAAATACTTTTAAAAAATACACCCAAGAGCGGCATATCTTTCTGTTTGTCACTAACGTGGGTCACTCACGGACATTATTCTTTATGAGGATTCATTTTAAGGAAGGGTCACCGGACCCGAAATGTTAACTCTGATTTTGTCTTCACACTCGCTGCCAGACCTTCTGAGCTTTTCCAGTAATTTCTGTTCGCGTTCCTGATTTACAGCATCCACAGTTCTTTTGGTTTTCATTCTTTATGATACAGGGATGTAAACATTATGCTGTGCAGGGATGATTGTGAGGGAAATCCATGGAATTGACTTAGTTTAAACGCCAGTCATATTAATTGCTGGAATGAAAACATGGTTTCTCATCTCTGATGTTACCATTCATTCCTGCATAGTATTGCTAATGATTCTGCTCCACAATTTCTACTGTGCACTAACAACCCGAACAAACGGATATAAGGGGACATGAATGAGCCACAACAAATCTTGTCTCTGTCAACTGCCATTCTTTGATCCTGCACAGTTCCAGTGATGCCACTGATATTCATCTGTGCCTTCGAACTGACCGGCTTTCCAGACTGTAAGTTGTCATCTAATTTTACAATATAGATGGGACCATTTCTCCCATTTTGTCAGTGCCGACCAAAGAAAGGGATAGCCAGCCAGTACAATATTCCAACCCTCAGTCCGTAGCCCTATAAATTCATTGCTTTAATATATATATAGATCTCTTCTGAATTCTTCTGAATCCACCACCAACATTCTCCAAGTTAACGCATTCCAAATCCTAATAACTCTCTGAATAAAGAAGTCTTTTTCTTATCTCACTTCAAGCTTTATTGCTGACAGGCTTGAAAGTGTGACCCCCAATTACTGACAGAACTCGGAGAAACATATTATCCTTCCTTACTCTGTCAAAATTGTTTAGAATTTTCAATACTTCAATAAAGTCTCCTTTAAATCTTCTCTGTTCCAAGGAAAGTAAAACAGATTTCTCTAATATTTCCTTGTATCCAAAACCTCTCGCTCGTCGTATCATTCTACTTAATCTCCTTTGAATTTTTCACTTCCTGTTAAAGTGAATTAAAGTGGTTGAAACTGAACACTATTCTCCAAATAAGAGATAACAAGGTGTAGAGCTGGATGAACACAGCAGGCTAAGCAGCATCAGAGGAGCAGGAAGGCTGACGTTTCGGGCCTAGACCCTTCTTCAGATTTTCTAACCACGGGCATGGATTTAGAAATAAATTCTCACGCTCATACAGTGCCTTTCACCACCAAGGAACAGGAATGTACTGTCCTGCAGGTTAAACCTTTTGAAGTGGATTCCCTATTGTAATGTAGGAAAAACTGCCAACACTGCCAAGCTCATAATGACTGGGTCATCAGTACTCACGACGTCAGATGACAAGAGTCTCTGTTACTTATCCAAACTGTGACGTGGGCTCATTTACATCCAGCTGAGGGACCTAAGTGCCTTCAGGTTCTGATCCAATGGGAGAACAACGCTCTCATACTCTAATGGTCTGCACTCGTGTGTGCTTGATCTGCAATGGTGTTTTAAGCTCCAAAGGCTTTGATTTTGAGGTGGAATGGATCTAGTTTTAAACTGCTGTCTTTTTTATTTCTCAAGTTCAATAAGCTGTCACAGGAAAATTTGTGACCATATTTCCCAGAGCATTAGCCTGCGATTCTAGATTGTAAACCTAAGATTTCCATTACACCGTCTCCCCAAAATCGCTGGATTCCACTTCCATTCAGGCCTGGCCATGTGGGTCTTTGAGTATTTCCAGCCATTTTTATTTTTCCATCAGGTCCTTGAATAAATTCATGAGCGCAAAAAGTGCCAAGAGAAAATAATTGAACTCTCTCTCTTCAAAGTCAGTTGGCTGGGGTAATTTAACAACCGTCAGTGCATTCATAAGGTCTCCCATAGGTGCAAGGCCGTGGGCCTCGGCAGCCCGATTTGAATCTTGTGAATTGCCTCTTGTTTTGTCCTGAGAGGAAGAACAAGGAAATTCAAGGCAAATAAATAGGGCAGAGCAAGGGTGGGGGGGCGGTGGGGGGTAGGTGGGGCTGGGTGAAAATAGGGTGTCAGTGAGACTGGTTGAGTTGTTCCCACGCCAGAATAATACAGATGCAATATGTCGAATGGTCACTTGCATTGTTGCAACCATACTGCAGTTTCATTTGAACAATATTGACAGAACTGCGTGTGCTGTCGTTATGGCTGAGTGATTAACGTGATGGATTCGAAAATCATTGGCGCGTCGCAGGGCACATTGTAACCCTGAATCCCTACGCAGATCATCTTCCACAATTAGTACCTCGCGTGGGTGCAGATCACTTTTTGTCAAGTACAAGCCCCCGTGCAAGTGTTCCTGTTTAAAAACTGGGCATGAGTCCATTTTGCTGACCTCAGTGCAAGGACAAATTGTTTTACAATATCAGGTCGATGAACTCACCTCGAGTCATGTGATTTACTTTCTCTCAACTTTTCGGAAAACATTAAGAAGGACCGAAATTTACTGACAAAGAAGGAGGAGTGCTTACAGACAGATTTGTCGTTCATTCAATCAAAAAAAAACAAAATTTCTCAGTTTATTAAAGCAGATTAACAGTTACTCACTGTCTCAAAGATTAACTAACATGAATGTGGGCAAGATAGAGCGCAGCAGTTGGAAAAATAAAGTGATGCTGAACATGTTCATTACATAATTCCTTCATTTGACCGAAAACCGAACTGCTACGATTCAGAATAGCTTCATAGGATTTGTGCATACTTGTGACCTGTCTTCCAGTGTTTATCCGTTAGGCTTGCCATTCACTTCAATCGAAGCTTGCTGCCGGGAATGAGGCTGTTATTACAACCTAATAAATGTGCAGGTTGATGGGTAGAAAACAGGAGAAACACTGTGTGACACATATTCAGAATGCCAGGGCAGACGCGATGAGCTGAAGGATTTTTCCTTTGATCAAACAATTCAGTAGTTTTGTGAATATGTTCAGCGCCTTGACTTGCAACGTGTAGGTCCGAAGATCAGAAAGATATTTGACTGGAAAAGTTTTTAAAAGGGCAGACTGACAGTGAAAGAGTCAACTGTGGTGTCAAGGAACAGAAAATGACAGAAAGAGGCCAGTTGGACTAGCCTGTTACTTTGAAAGAGCAATTGTGATTGATTAACTGGGAGTAATATTTGTGCCAGTCTGAACATTTGGCAGTAACATCTGTTTCATTGCCACTAATATTTCAGCTTTCACGATCATTTTGACGGCCAGCGCTTCATGCCACAAAACCAGCACAATCCTCCACTTCACTCCTAGCTTCTGACCTGCTGTTGCAGCCACTGCATTTACGTGGTGAGTCCATTTCGGTTTCTGATCAACGATAACTCCTGGGATGTTGATTGTGGGGAAATCAGTGATGACAAGTGACGGTGGTTAGATTGTCTCTTATTGGTGCTCGTCGAAGCCTGGCATTTGTGTAGCACGAATCTTACTTGCCACTTGTCAGTCCAAACCTTGATATTATCCAGATCTTTCTGCATTTCGACATGGACTACATCAGTGTCTGAGCATTCGCGAATGGTGTTGAACATTGTGTAATAATCAGCGAACATCCATACTTCTTACCTTATGATGAAGGGAAGGTCATTGATGAAACAGCTGGAGATGGTTGCGCCTAGCACACTACCCTGAGCAAGTCCTGCAGAGATGTCCTGGTGTTGAGAAGACTGACCTCTAATAATCACCTGACCAATCTTTGTGTCAAACAAAAATTTATTTATCACATTCGCTCCAACCCTTCGTGCATTATCATCTACATCATTTATGAATCCCACACATAATAAGGGACATGGCACTGATCCCTGTGGTACGCCATTGACACTGGTCTCCAGTCACACAAACAGCTTCTACCACCACCCTCTGTCTCCTGCCACTAGGTTGATTTTGGATCCAGCTTGGCAAGTGACTAATGGTTCCTGCTTGTTCCCTGGTTATTCTGTTCCACTTGGCATGCTTTTAGATTATTTAGGGATTCTCCCTAACCTTGCTTGCCGGCTATTTTCCATGTCCCTGTGTGATTCAATCGCCTCTGAGTGAACAATTTCCTCCTTGTTGCAGTCTTAAATGGCTGTCTCTTATCCTACCATTATTTGCTTTGAAATTCGAGTAGACAGCCAGAGAAATATTCTGTTATTTCTACAATGTCATATGT